CTGCCTCTAACACGACAAACTCGACGCCAGAGGTGTTTTAGAGTCTGTATGTACTGAGAAGAATTTACCGTTTCCCCTCGGTCCAGAAAGTCGGTCACATAAACTCGGTGAGCATCCCCAAACACAGTCAAAAGAAGTTTTTGGCGGATGGTTGTGTTTTGAACTTTTTCGCCTGAGGAGAAGACGGATGTCGATATTCAGCGCTCTGTCTTTTCTCTTCCGGGTCGTAACGATGGACCCATGACTCGTCCCTCGTCCCAATATTCAAAAGAAAGTCGTCTCCTTCGTCACGGTAGCGCTGCAAAAGTTGCTTGCAGCATTCCAATCGACGCTGTTTGTTCTCGTCTGTGAGACGGCGTGGTACCCATCGTGCACAGATTTTACGGTATCCCATTTGTTCAATAGTGAAGCCTACACGTTCCTTGGATATTCCAATATGGTTTGCGATACGCTTTTGAGTGATTCGCCGGTCATTTTGAATCAAATCGTCGACGAGTTTGCGATGATTACCGTCTGTGGCAGTGATCGGACGTCCGCTGCGTGTTTCATCAACAATTATGGCTTTTCCAGGCTCGCAACCACGAAATTTTATTACCCATTGATTTACAGTAGACCTATCAACAGCACCGTCACCATAAACAGCCATTAAACGACGACGAATCTCAGTAGGAGTCACTTTTTCAGCAGTTAAAAATTCGATAACAGCATGCTGTTTAACTCTCGTTGACATAGCACTAGAACACGTCTCCATACTTCCGCTTCTCGAAATACACTGGATGAAAGCAACGACCTCAAACCTGCGCATGCGTATTGAGGGGTATGTTACTTCCACATGCCACCTGGCGCGCTTCTGAAGTTCATTTCGTTCGCTCTCTACAAGCATGTGTGCATTACTTTTCAGCCTACCTACGTGTATGCAATCATTTTAGTGCATTGGCTCAAGTACTTTGTGGAATGCTAAGATAGAATATTTTATGCTTAGTGCTGCATATTTTAAGAGCTGATACATCATAGATCTGTACACCATGATCAATTAGTTGCTATTCCTTCATATTTGAGATTCTCATTTTTAAATTTTTGGCCAGAGCTTGTCTGTAATAATGAACTTTTCATGGGTTTCTGCAGGCCTTTAGCATATTTGAGGGTATTATGTTAAAAAGACAATGACTGCTTCCATCCATATTTTCTCCATTTGGACTTTCACCTACTATCTTATCATTTCTAACTTTCAACTTTATTTTTGTCCATAACTGAAGTGCAATACAATTGGACATGTCAAGGAATAATAATGAATACATCACACGTCAAAGTCACATAAAACTTATACAGTGATTTATCACTATAATATAGCAACTGTTAATAGAACCATAATAAAAAATACAGAAGGCCAAAAGAAAAATGTCAGTAACATAAAACAAGTAAACACAATATTAAAAATTGTAAACCAAAAGACAATCAACAAGCTAGTCATCAATCCCAACACTGGTTTAAAAATTTTTGAAGAGAAGAGAAAGCACTGCACAGCAAATAATTCTTTAGTTTCCTCTTAAAAACATTGAAATTGTTAATGCTTCTCAATTCAGTGGGAAGGCAATTAAATATTTTAGTTCCCATATTAATTACACCTTTTCTGCAACGATCGGTATTACAAAATTGGACATACAAATTATGTTTATGTAAGGTATTGTAGCTGTGAATGTCAGAATACTGAGTTGTATAGTTCTTATACGTATTGAGTGTGAGTTGCCCAGCTTAGATTGTCAGTAATACAAATACCCAAAAATTTTATATTTGATGAATAATTTATTTCCTCATTATTTAAGCAAAAAACAGGTGTGTAGGTTGGAGTATGTCGTCTTCCCTGAAAGAATAATACTTTGGTCATATCCGTGTTTATCATCATCATCACTGGCACAAGCCCTTCGTGAGCCCTGGCCTACCTCAGGATTGCTCGCCATTCTTCTCCATTCGATGCTACGAGTACATTCCTCCAGTTCTTTACAGACAAAATTCTTATGTCCTGACACACACATTCTTCCCATCTTAATCTTGGTCTTCCCACTGGTTCCTTCTGGTTTAGTATTAAGCATTTTCTTAATCATTCTATTCTTGCTGGCACATATTAAGTGTCCAGCCCATTCGAGCCCTTTCACCTTTATAAATCCAATAATGTCTGGTTCATTAAATAGTTTGTATAGCTCATGGTTATACCTCTTCCTCCATATTCCATTTTCTTCCACTGGTCCAAAGATATATCTCAAGATCCTCCTTTCAAGCATACTTAACAGTGTTTCATCTGATCTTGACAGTGGCCAGGTCTCAGAGGCATAAGATAGCACTGTTCTTATAAGTACTTTATGCATCATAGTTTTGGTTTATCCGTGTTTATTATGAGAAGATGATTTTCATGGAACTAATTTACTAATTGATTCCTAACATTTAGGATTTTTTTTTTGTTTAATGATAAAATATTATTGTCAGTAAGTAGTATATTTATATCATCAGCAAATAATACGACCTAAGCCTCATGAATAGCTAGGGACAAATCATTTATGAACAATAAAAATAACAATGGTCCCGAAACAGAACCTTGAGTGATGAGGTAAATGTCTTTAAATTAGAGGTCTTTTGATCCACATGTTGAATTTCAACAAACAGTTCTGTCAATGAGATATGAACTCATCCATGCATGAGTTATCCCTCTCAGCCCATATAGCTCCAGTTTTGCAAGTAGTAGATCATCATTAATAGCATCAAAAGCCTTTGATACATCTGAAAATATGCCCAAGGCAAATCGTTTGTTATATGAAGCTTTCTGACTTTTCATGGATAAAAATTTGGATTGCAGTAAAAAGTAGACTTGTTCTTTCTGAAGGCATTTTGAGCATCCAAGATCAAGTAGAATTTATCCAAGAAACTCGCAACTCTGTTATACATTAACGTTTCAAGAATTTTAGGATTGAAATTGGTCTTTAGTTGGAAATTTCTTGTTTCCGTCCTTTTTTAAAAATGGGCCGAACTTTAGCGATCTTCATTAGGTGTGGAAAGGTACCAGAACTTAATGGCAAGTTAAATTTAAAAGTTAAGGGCTTTTTAATAAACTGTGTACATTGTTTGACTATCACTTTCGGAATTTCCTGATTCCATCTTTATTATTTGCCATAGTACTTAGTATGGTTCTTTGACCTTAGAATGATTTGGCCATTTTCTCTTTTTTGAGCATCATATATCACTTTATTATAAATTCTCTGACATTTTTATATGTAATTCAAAGCAGAAACAGACAGACATCTTCCTTTTTAACAAACATAATGATTGCAGCCTCTGTCTGGAGACATTTGTCCCTTGAGTAATCCATCCTGATCTATTCCCTTTTTTTATTTGAGACTTGTTTTAGAGGGAAAAATATGCAAAAAACGCTTAAGAAACTTAGTTAAAAAGGAACTGTAGGCTCTATTTACATCAGATTGAGAATAAACATCATAGTTCAGTGTTTAACTGACTGTTAAAATTGGCAGTACTTCTTTTTACAACATATTCCGAAAGAGTGGAAGGGCTATTTACATGTATGTTCATGGCCAATGCAAAATGATCAGAGAATCCAAATTCCACAACCTTTGTAGTTGAGTGATAGGATAGTATCTTATTCCTGATCATGACATCTATCAAAGAACATGAATTAGAAGTGACTCTCGTTGGACATGAAACCGTATTTTGTAAATTGTTAGATAACAGTAAACTTAATAAAGCCTTCTGATGGGTATTTTCCTCTAATAGATTGATATTCCAATCACCACACAGGACTAAAAGACATCCCCTTATTGATACCTTATTTACAGCTTCATCTAACAGTTCAAGGAAAGTTTCCTTGTTACTATTTGGGGATCTGCGTATATATAAACAACTGTGATTTTGAAATCGACTAGTTCAGTGGCTGAAATTTCAAATACCTTTTCCCTTCCTAGATTCTTCAAGAAGGGAGGCTCTCTAATTTTTAGTTCATATAAAGCAAATATACAAGAGCCCCCATGCTTGCCTATATTTCTACAGAAGGTATCCGCCAATTTATACTGATCAGTATTTATGTGTATAAGATGATCCCTTATAAGCCAGTGTTCCAAAAAGCATAAGATGGCGGGCTCTGATAACCATGAACTCAACAATGCATTCAAATCCAATAATTTGTTACCGAGACTCTGAACATTATCGTGTAAAATACCCAAATTATTAAATTTTTGGGATCCATCACTAATGGAATTGAAGACAGTCCGATGTGGTGGGTGGATCTACCCTAAAAAATCCTTATTACGTTTTTGAGGTTTATGTCAGGTTCTCTTAGAAGGTAACACAGTCATTTCCTGTTTATCATGGTCAACTTCAGTTCCTCTTAGATTAATTGATTCACGTCATGAATCAACCTGTTCACCAACCATAACTGAACTGATACTCTCGTGAGATACCTGAGCTGTCAGCACATGATTTTCTTCACTTAACTTAGTAATCACATCACATTCATTTTGCTCCACAGAGTCACAATTTTGATAAAGCTGCGGCTGAGACATTTTATCACAGGTGCTCACATCGACTTCCTCTGCACAGGGAAATTGCTCTACAGCGAATAACTGCGTCTCTCCATTTTGTTTTCAATTTAAGGCAATAGGTGGTGGCATTTTCAGACTGATCAAATCATTTATCACAGCAGCGTCACTGTTTTCTGCGTGCTCTTTCCCTCGAGCATTTGAATGAAGCCCATGTGTTGTATAGAGGTCCCTGTCAGAGTCCACTGTTACCACAAAGATTCTGAAACACCTTTTTCAGTTTATCTAAAGTTCTACTGAATACTTGGACTTCATGATTTACACAAGAGTTTGGTTAAAGATCGTGCCTTTGGGGAACTCAGTAATCTCAGAAACAGAAAATGTTGCTGAATGAACTAAGAATAAATAAATAAAGATCATAAAATAGCCTAATAGACAGTCAACATTTATTGCCTATTTACATTAGTGTTTATTAAAATTGGGCGTGCAAACATGCCATATTTATTCATGGAATGTTGCTTTTCACATCCCCCTTCCCCACTCTTTTTTTTGGGGGGGGGCCTTCATGTTGTCACTGATCTCATAATAATTTACAAATCTGCCTATTGACTGCAGTTCATAATAACATTTGTATGTACAGTTACCTTTTGTATAGTGAATAATCACTGGATTGACAACCAGTGTTTTTAAGGAGGTAGATGCCATTTTGAAGGCAGTATTGAGGTAGTCATTGTCCCCTATTAGGGGTATGTAAAAGTGGTTTAAGAAGGGTTAGTTTTTGTCATTGGCCTGGAAAGGGCAGTCTGTAAAATAAGAGGTTGAAGAGTTGCTGGTTGTAATTTTTGGCAGTGGTGTGGTAATGGCTTAGAATGGGGAAGAGATGGAGTATCAGGTTAAGTTAAAAACTGGAACAGCTGCTTGCAGAAAGTGTGTGAATGGGAGGGAAAAGAAAAGTGTGTGTGTATAAGAGACAAATAAATGTGTGAGAAGAGCATTCATCTGTGATCTAATTTTTTTTGTGTACGGGGGGAAAAGGACTGGTTTTAAACTCCTCATTCTGTCATTTTGCCCACTGTTCTAATAATGCCTTTTGTCTTTGATCCAAATGTACATTAGTATACAATTATTATTGTATTATTTCATGATTTATTTAATGGCTGTCTCACCTATGTGGATTTCAGAATATCAATTCAGAAATGATGTGATACCTACATGCGGTGAGTTATGAAAGATTTGGTTCAGTTTAGTTTTTTATTCCAACATTTGTCTGGTCTTCATGGTTGACACAGTGAGGAACTTCATGCATGCAATACTGAGAGATTAAAATCATGGACCTCTTATTATACAGAGCAGTAATACATTGTCTCACATGGGGATTTTAGTGCAATTATCATCATTCTTCCTAATTCTCTGCAGTTGTGTTTCTTATCAAGGTATGTAATTTTCTTTTTTTAATTTCAGCCTTGCACCTTCTCATGTATTACCTGGCTGCATGAGAGACAATTTTTGGGAAATGGGAGACACTGGCCCTTGTGGGCCTTCTTCGGAACTCCATTTCGATCGAATTGGTGGGCGTAATGCAGCTCACCGAGTGAATACCAATGACCCTGATGTCATAGAAATTTGGAATATTGTTTTTATGCAGTTTAATAGGTAAGGCCACATAACACAAAGTGTGAATATGGTTTACCTATCGCTCAGTACAGTAAAATCGTGATGATGCCATGTGAAATGCTGGTGGCAGATAGTATTGATTCTGTGTGTAGATGGATCTGACAGCAGTAGCTTCTTTTGTCAGCTGTCATAATTTTTATGAAACATGCTTTAGAAGAGCTTGAAACCTGTATTTTGTATTTCTCAATATTGGATGTTACAATTTTGTGATGGGGTTGTGAGAACATGAAGAGGAACCTCTAGTGGTTTGTTGTAAACCATGATGTCAGTTATGAATTTTATATTTGTTGTGTTACAGACAGTGTAAACCTCAGGTTCTTTTCTTTGTGTAGAGAAGTAGATGGAAGTTTGAAATCACTTCCCAGAAACCATGTTAACTGCGGAATGGGGCTGGAACGCCTGGTTTCTGTTATCCAACAGAAACATTCAAACTATGATACGGATCTCTTCATGCCTCTGTTTGCTGCAATTCAACAAGTAGGTTGTAATGTTTTGAATGTGTAGTAGTATTGTATGAAATCCTAAGGGAAAACACAAATACAGTGGAACCTCGCTTAACGAGCACCTCTCATAATGAGTAATTTGCATAACGAACAAAACAAATTGTAAAAAAATGACTTGCTTAACGAGCGACATTTTGACGAGAGGAGAAGTCCCGGATTGTGCGCTTGCTCCATCAGTCTTGTTTAGCACTTGTTCCGCTATCATCTTAGTGTCGCTTGTGATCACACATTTTTCCAAACTTGTGTTCAGACATATTATTTGTGATATTTTTTTGTGCAAAGTTTAATAACCCTTGCAAAAATGTCCCCGAAGAAAAAGCTGCAAAAAGACAGCCACAAGAGAATAAGCATGGCTGACCTAGCACGCACATATAAGTACAATCGGTCTACATCAACGATTTGCACGATTTGGAGTTGCATTGTGTTTCACAGCAAGAAGTTGTGGAGGAGAGTTTGTCAGAGGAGGAGGAGGAGGTAACAGCAAAGCAACAATCTTCTGNCATTCCAGGTTGGTTCATTCCACATAGAAGAAAAGATGATGCTAATTCATGCTCCTTAACAATGTATATATAATTTTCTTTGAATAAACGTTATACATAACATTTTTTTAGTATTTTTTTCGGCATGGAATGCATTATCATATTTTACATTAATTTATATGGTGAAAATTGTTTCAC